TGTGGCAACTCAATTTTCGAAAGGAACCTTTCTTACGCTTAGATGCAGAAGCAAACCTAAATGGAAGTAGCTTACTTTTCCAGTTATCCAGCTCACAAAATTCACATATATACATATATGGTGGCAGCCATCTTGGATTGTGACATGGCAACCCTATATTCCAATGGAAACTTTCTTTCTCCAAGAAGTTGCCACACCAAAATGAATAAAGGTACCTCACTTATTTATCAAGTTATTACACTAACAACCTGTACGGACATTTGTGACGGCAACCATCTTGGATTTTGACGTGGCACCCCAATTTTCGAAAGGAACCTTTCATTCGCCTAGATGTAGCCACACAACAAAATAGAAGTCGGTACCGCTCTTGATTTCCAAGTTATCGTGTTGACAACATGCCTGAATGGACAGACGGACACAGAGATGGAAGGAGGGTATGTCCAATTCTTCATCTCCGCTTTGTGACGAAGAACAAAAAGTGATAACCAATAACTTCAAAGAAGGAGTAAATTAATATGTTTTAGGTGTAACGGTTTTCCGTTCGTACCATGATGGTTTGGTTCAGATGATTTGGGCAGAAACTACGAGGTACACAACAAATACATCATACATGTGATCACTGCTTTCATCTGCAGTCAGTCGCATGATTTATTTCACTGCTTTTTGCCAACAACCACAACAAAAATGAAGCAGAGAAAGATGCAATCTAAACTCAAGCATGAGTTGTTTTCAAACGTTTTGTGCCACACCACCCTTTGAAGGAAAACACATTTTCAGCCCCCCCGTTTCTGCTGTATATCTTTAAAGACAACAATTCAATCTGTTCCAAAATCAAAAACACAAGCAGCTGTTTTGGGAGAAATGTTTTTATTAGTGAGAACTAACGTCACTTTGTCACAGTATTTGTTGTTTAATATTTTTGTTTTCACTGATGCCGTTTCTGAAAGTGATTTTACAGATTTTTATTAATTAAGTCTAAGTGGCAACAATGCTTAAAAATAGTTCTCAAAGTTTTAAATAAATAGAAAAATGAGTGGTCACATGCCCCCACTGTTTAACCCCTGTTCTGCTTTTGGGAGAATGATTGTATGTAAAAAAATAAAAATAAAATAAAAAAATATAAAATATTAGTATTTGTCTTTAATTTTTTTAAACACCAATCAAAGGCAGATGTTTTTATCACATAATATCTGTCTGTCGTCTGTAAACCTTCACATGTCCCACCCATCCATAACTTCTGATATACGCAAGACAATTTAATGAAACTTTATACACATGTGCAGCATCACTAGACGACATGTCACATGCACGTTTCATCACCTCAGCTCTAAGGTCAAGGTCATAAATCAAGGTCAAATTTCATACAAGATCTTTTTTAAGCCATAAGTTCTGATCTGCTCAAGATAATTTAACAAAATTCAAAGCACATTTTTAACACCCTGCATGGTGTGTCACAAAATATTTTCATCATTCCAGCTCTGAGTTCAAGGTCACAAATTAAGGTCAAAGACCATGTAAAGTACTTTCGGGTCTGGGCCATTGCTGTAGATTGCTGTATTGCTAACAGCCTGACGTTGGGCGTATAATGTGCCGTATATGCAGCGCTCTTGTTTCTGTTGTACTGAACTCGGTGAACTATCACACTGAGACACATACCATCCTGTGACATGAACGTACCGTTATGCCTGTAAGACACATTCATAAATGATTATTATATTATTATAATGATAGATTTACCTCAAGTTCCTGCAGGAGGGAATCAATATCTGAAGTGGGATTGAGAAGCAGCTCCCTGGTCTCCTGGATCCAGGATTTCACAACACTGAGTTCTTTCTCCACTTCCTCACGCTCCCTCAACTCCTGAGCTGCCTGAGCCCGTTTGGTTCTGGACTGTGTCAAGAGGCTGAAAACAAAAACAAACATCTGTATTCTCAGATTCTGATTGACGGAATGATTTGTTTATTTTTCTTCTTCCGGCCGTTCCCTTCTTCAGGGGTCGCCACAGCGAACTAACTCTCACTAAAGCGTGACAATTGTTTTTAAGCCAGATGTTCTTCCTGATGCAACCACAGACACCGAGCTACCACAGCCCCCTGTGTGGAGCAGAGAGCTGCATCTAGGGCACCTGGGGGGGCAGATGGTGGGGGTTAAAGGCCTTGCTCAAGGGCCCAGAGTGGGACAAATGAGGGTGGAGACAGGTGTGGGTGTTTCACCTTCCCACCCACATATTGATGTTGCCAGTTCAGGGAGTTGAACTGGCAACCTTCCAATCACAGGCCCACCTTCTCTAGCCTCTGTGCCCCCCCCCCCCCCACACACACACACATACATACACATACATACACACATACATACATGTCATACATACCTGTATGTATGTGTAGCACTTCAAAAAAGGCTTGAAATAAAAACAGTCATGCAGAACTGTACCTCTCCATCTGGTCCTGGACAGCTCTGATCTCCTTCAGGCTGGGCAGCTCCTCCTGGTCGGCTGTTGGTGAAGGAGGCACTTCCACATCGTGCAGAAGACTCAGGGCGTACTGGCGAAGCAGCGTCAGGGAGGAGAGCTCCCGCTCCAAGTCTTGGCTCAGCAAATCATGTTGATCTAACAAAGACTGCAGCGTGGCTTTGGAAGCCTTCTCCACAGCACTGTCAGGGAAACGACTCTGGAGCTCATCAGAGACACCTCTAACCTTCACCATCTACAAAATAAAACATTAAAAATCTACTGTACGGCTTCATGTCCTTAGTTTAAAACTCTGGCAGGAAAAATGGTGGGTGATATGCATTCCTTCAAGGAATGCTGGGTCTTTTATTATTTTTTTAATGTATTAATCATTTCCAGTGGGTGTCTGTACCTTCTCTCTGAAAGTCCTCCACTCCTGCGCTGTGTCCTCAAGCACTCTCTCTTGTCCTCGTGCCACGCTGCGCAGTCGTGTCCAGCGCTGCCACACGGTGGTCATGGAGCGACTGATGGTGGCCTTGCTGGCGTCGCTCCCCACCAGTTCCAGCTGAGCAGCTTGTTCCTCCAAACCACTCAGCTTGTCTTGAAAGCCATTCACAAGCGATACAAGGGACTAAAAAATTAGAAGAAAATCAATTAACTGAACTGATTTAAAAAACACCCACATTTCTTGAGGAATAATACAGAATTTGTTTTGTCCTTTCGTACCCGGTGACTGCCGAGCTTGTCTTCGGCCTCCTGATTCGTGGCTGCCTTTGCGGTGGAAAACTCTGTCAGCTTCTTTTCGGCCTCGTTCATGAGCTCGATAACAGTCTGCCTTGACTCCTGGAAAGACTTCCACTGGACCACACAGCTGAGATAAAATACATCAGAGCATAGAGTGACCACATTGAAGCTTGTATCTCACTGGGATGTGACTGCTGGCGACAAACTTTTTGCTGGAAATGTATGTATTTAAATTGATAATGACAAAGTCCATGCTCAATAATCCAGGTATAAAGAGACCATCTTATCACAAGCAGAACTGGTTTGTGCCACTTTGGAGTAAGCTGTTAGGGGAAGAATCAGTTTTGTTGTGTGTTTCTTTGACTGATGAAGCCTTCCGGATTGAAGGCAAAACGTTTCAGCACAAAAAAAAAGAAACTGTCCAGATGACCTGACTGAAAAATGTTGTATTAAACTGATAATGTTTGCACTTGCAAATAAAACGAGCATACAAGCGTTGGTGATAAACAGCCTCCTGTAATTGTTCAGCTGCACTGCAGGGCTTCAGTTCAGCTACACGAGCGGTTTCCTCCTCGAGCCCTCCTTGTGACACGTGCGTTCCTGTTTGACAGGTGTTACGCCACAGTTCATCTCTGCGCCTGCACGAGCTCAGAGGCTGACACAACTACTCACCTCCTCGCCTCACTGGGGGAGTGGGAAAAGCCACAGATTCTCTATGCAGGCCTACTGGAGCAGGTGCTGCTCGCAGAGAAACCCACCATCCATCCATCCATCCATCCATCCATCCACCCACCCATCCATCCATCCATCCATCCATGCTCCTTTACCAGCTTCTTCATTTTCTGGCTGTGGAGGTCACTGGTGCCCATATCCAGCAATCACTGTGTGTGAGGCAAAGGACACCTGGACAGGTCTCCAGTCCATCACAGGGACACAGAGACAAACGAGACAAACAACCCTTCATTCTCTTGCTCTCTCACCCAGGGACAATTTAGAGTTACCGATCAGTCTAACATGCATGTTTTTGGTCTGTGGGAGGAAACTGGAGTACCCAGAAAAAAACGTGCTAACAATTCCTTACAAAACAAATTTAGCTCTCAGTAACAATACAATGTGGCTCTAGTCATTCTTACGTCTGCAGGACATCCTGATGACACTGGAGCTGATCTCGGACCTCTGCTCCTCTCTGCTTTGCCGACTCCACACTCAGTCGTAGCTGCTCCTTAGCGGCGGGATTCACCAGGCTCTCCAGCTGAGGAAGCAGTGTCTGAAGATCTTCCAGATGGATGATAAACTCCTGCTCTGTTGACATGATGTCTGCCTGCTGCCGGAGGCACTCCTCGTAGTTCTCGACGTCGACCCCCAAGCTAGCTTGCTGAAGGAAAGACACGGCGTCCTCCAGCCATTCACAGGCGGACTGCATCCTGAAGTGGTACTTCTGACACAACATCAAGGCTTCTTCCAGGGTAATCTTCAGATATAAAACATGTAGAATAAGACAAGTGATAAACTATTCCAAAACACACAACTCTAAAGCAAAAGCTTTTCACATTCAGCATGTAATGAATGTAAGATGGTCCCACCTGTTTGGCTGTCAGGGCTTTTTGAACATCTGCCTGCAGTTTTGCCATTTCTTCAAGGTTTGTATCAACGTGGGCGGGGACAAACTCGTTGGCACTGCTATACTCGTGTTTTTCTCTGCTACTAAGTGCAGCCACTATTCTCAGTCTGGACTGCACTTCTTCTTGCAATATCTGCTGCTTCCTGATCTCCTCTTGTACCTTCTCCACTCTGACGTCAACAATCACGGCGCAGTCGAGCTCGTCCCTGATGTGCTGCAGCCAGTCCAGGGTCCTCTTCATCTCCGTTTCCAAGTCTTTACTTTGGATGAACCTGTTCTCACATTCCTCGATCAGCTCACCCACTGCAGCCTGTAACGACCGCAGCTCCTCCTGCCACAAAATGACCTGCTCCTTAGAAGCATCGTGAGCTGCTTGGTCCACACGAGGGGCGAGGGTGTCCATCTGCTCCATGAGCCTCGACAGGTGGGAGTCGGCACTCTGGAGACTCCCTGCCAGAGTGTGGTAGTTCTTCAGCCTCTCTTCGGCTGACTGTGTCTCTGCATTCACTTTAACTAGCTGCTCCTTTGTGGCCTTTAGCTCAGAGTCTACCTGCATGGCCATTGCCTTGTGGTCCTCAAACGACTCTAAAGTTTCATCCAGATGTTCTACTTTTTGTTCCACTAATCTCTTTAGTCCGTTATACAGGCTCACGAGCTGTGTCATTTCCTCTGGGCGCCATGGCTGCCCCGTGCTGCGAAATCCCTCCTTCTTCTGATTCAGTTCACCCACGGCCAGACCCAAGCAGCTGAGATCTACCAGAATAGCTTTGTAATCACTTTGCAAACTGACGACCTCCTCAGTTTGTAGCCCGACGAGTTGCGTCGCCAGATTATTGAACTGTTCCTCGAGTTCTTTCAGTGCTTTGTGAGTGACGTCTATGAAAGACGTGTACTCGTTCCTTGTAAGAATGGCCTGCTGGATCTTCTCCTGTTTCTCTTTGGCAAGTGCTAAGATGCTGTTGTACTGCTGAGGCAGGCTGTTGAGTTTTTCATCCAGGAAGCAGTGGTCCACTTCATTCAGAGTGGGCAGCACTTCCTGACCCGCTCTCTGTACAGTCAGGAGGAGGTTCTCGTATTCCACCGCCTGTTCAATTATCTGCTGGTACTTCAGCAGCTGTGCCTGCAGTTCACTATCACTCACCATCAGATTGATTTCAGGAAAAGTTACAATGTCTGCTTGTTTTAACCACTGGCAGATTTTCTCTAAATCGTTCTTAAAATACTTCCTGGAGACAAGTATTTTTTCAAGCTCCTGAAGCTTCTGGCCGCATCTATGAAGCGTTCTGTCGAAGATATTTTGTAACTCCTGCAGCTTTGTGAGAATCTCGTTTCTCTCTTCCTCGCTGGCCTCTCTCATCAGGTCTCGCCCCTGAGACCACAGGGAGGTGAGCTCGCTCTGATAGGCTTTCAGACTGCTTTGGATGTTCCTGCATGTCCGCACCTGCTTGGATAGGTCATCAGGTAACAAAGCAAAGTATTCTTCTGCCTGGGCCTTCTTCTCGTTCTGCTGAACCCAGAAAATGGACTGACTGACGGCCATCAGAAACTGTGTCCTCTCTGTAAAGGCCTTGCTGAGGTGTTTCCTTCGCTGCACCACCTTCACACTCAGAGACTCCACCTCCATCTGAGTGTCAGAAATCAGCTGCTGCAGGTGCTGGCGCTCGCTAAGGCCTAGCCGCGGCAACACCCGATCTGCGTCAGCCATGGCCTGAGCCAGGAGGAGCTGCTTCACCTCCAGCTCACTGCAGATGCTCAAATGGTCAAACAGGAAGCTCTGAGCTAGTTCAGGAGGGGGACTCATTTTCATGGCCTCAGACAGAGCTGGCTGCTGCTCCTCAGCCCAGTCCCGAGCCTCTCTCAGACGAGCCTCCACTTGTCTCATGTCATCTAGCGTCACCACGGAGTCCTGGACTTTTCTTTCGATGAGGTTCTGCATCTGAGACCATCTCTGTTCAAAGTAGCTGATTTGTTCTTTCACCAGCTCCTTGTCGTCCAAGTTCAGATGCTGGACAACGTTCTGCTTCTGCTCCTTAAGGTTGTCCAGGACACCTTTTTGGTCTTCAAGAGTTACTGCAAGTTTTTGTAGTGCTTCCAAATGCTGGGATGAACTTTCAGCATCAGTTCTGCAGCACAAATACAAAGTGTTCAAAGTCTTACAAGGTCTTTTAAATGTTCCCAAGATTTACACGAAGCCTGCACTCTTGATTAGAAACTAATGACAAATCTAAACATCTATTATCACACGCTGCCAAAAGTCAGTTTTGCAAATATATCTTCAGAAACTCCAGTCACCTGAGAAAACTATATTTAAAGCAATATAAAAACTAGAAAGCCTAGTTTGGCTACAAACAGCGGGCCTCACCTACAGTCACGTGTAAATTTATTGCCAATTGATGTTAGACTGATCGTTGCCGACAGAAAATGTTTAGCCTACCCCACAACCCAACCCTACAATACTCTAAAAGTCCCAGAGAGGTCGAAGGAGTGGAGCACGGGCGCTAAGATGATGATGTATCAGTTTTGGTGCCTCCCCTGTCTGCAGTGAATTGATAACAAGTGAACAGACAGACATGAATTGATTTAATAATACTGCCACCTTGTATTTATTAACCTTTACTGTATTTAAACCTTTATTTATGTACAAATGCCACAAAGTTTGTTTTGTTTTAAATTAAAGCACAACAGAGACTCTTCCTCTCAGCATGGAGCTACAGAGGATCAGTCTGCGTGGAAAAGCTGCCTTCACCAAACAACTTGAGATACGAGACTGTGTGGTCCTACTGCCTGACGTGTTTGTTCAAACCGCTTCTGCACAAACAATTTAAAGTGGTGGAGACATTTTCAGTGATATTTAACCAGACAAAGTCATCAATTTCTTTGGGGTTAGTGAGACAATTTTCCACTCAACAAGAAATTGTGACATTTTAGTCTCGTTACGCTCTTCACTATACGTCAGTTTTACAGAAACTGAGCTTAAATTGGATGTGGTAGTAGCTGAGGGTCATTAACAACACATATTCTGACTTTTTACAGTTCACGTGAGGTCTCACAGTTTAGTGCCTTATTGTTAAACATTATTTTCAAGGTTTCACAACAATGGTTTTGATGCCCTCTTTTCTTTTTTTACTAAACAAAAACAGCGAGCAATTAGCATTTCATCAAGGAATGCTTTAACATAATTAATTTTGCATAACACAATGAAGAAGAGCCCAGAAGAGCTGGAAGAAGTGGCTGTGGAAAAAGATGTCTGGACCTCCCTGCTCAAGATGCTGACTTGAGCTCTGACAGGAACAAGAGGAAGATGATGGATGGATGGATGGAAGGATGGATGGATGGATGGATGGATGGATGGATGGATGGATGGATAAATGGATGGATGATGGATGGATAAATGGATGGATGCATGGATGATGGATGGAT